CGATTTTAACGAGTCTATAATTTTTGAATAGTTACCGGCAATCACAGGGTAGCTTTCTACGACCTGCCGTGCACGGCTGCCAGCAACTGTCGCTTGTATTAAGTAACTAATTTTATCGATTTCATCGAGTTCTGTATGATGATGAATTTTCACAAATTGTGCCCAAAACGCGAGCCATTCACACACGTTCCCATCAAATTTTTTAAAATCTTTCGGTAATAAATAAAATCTCCTACCTTGTATGTTGTAAAGATTTACCCCATTGTTACCGATGCCACTGGAAGGAACGGCTGCTGTCGATGGCTTGGAGGTTAGGTCGCTCACCTGCTGCTGTAACTCAAGGAACTGTTCCATGAATTCTTCGCAAGTACCTTGTTCGGCTCCCAGGACGTCTCTGTCGGCCGCCTCACCCATCAACAGCGTTGTTATTTCATCGTCGGCTTTTTGTAAAGTTGAATGCTTAAGCCGCAGCATTTCAACCGCCACCTTCAACGCAACACTATCTATAGGAGTTTTAGTTAATAACCTCCGTAGCTTGTCGGTGGCCCGCATAAAGCTATCACGACATACGTCGCGGTATCGCCTTTGTTGCTCCATTTTTCGCGGAAATCGAACGTACCACTAAAATGTCAATTTAACACAAATATCGTAACCAAAACACTCAAACCCGGTGTCCTGTCACGGTCGCCATAAAATGTTAACAAAGCTTGATGAAAACTACCCGTTTTCTTTTGGGTTTTTTATTTCTTGTCACGATCCAATTAAATTGACATAGATAGAGATACTTTTAGATAACTACTGAAAAAATTCGTATTTCCACTCTTTTGTTTTTTTTACAACCCTGATATATGTCCAATTTACAACAAGCCCATAATTTCGTATTTTTGAAAAAAAAACATTTTTTACAGGGCTCAACTCGGACATAAAAAAAAATATATATTAATGTGACTGATTACATGCGTCTTACGCAATATTTAACAAAAAACGTCTTATAGCCGGGATGAGTAGGAAGATGTTAAGTCTTTAACTAGGTTTACAAATTCGTTCTACACCGTTTAAAACGAAATTTTGGAAAACGCTCGATATCGAAAGTATAGAAAAACTGCATGCAAACGTTAGGCAACACATCATGCCACATACGCCCGGCACTTCTATTGGTTGCATTAGGTATTAGCTAATTGTGTGCACTTTGTGAAATCATCACTCTCCATTGTTTGTACTACTACGGCTATGAAATAGCGTTTTTCAGTCTTTGGTCAACTTTTGTCTTTTTGCAGCATTCTTTTAATTTGGTAAAATATGACTTTTGCATCCAATTTCTTGAATAACTGTAGATTGTACTGTACTGTACATTCAATCAGTTTTCGGTGTACCTACATTACTATCACCATCTTCAACTAATCGGGTGTACAGGGTGAGTCAACGATTGCGCGAAGTAACGTAATGCCTTGAAGATAAGATTTCTCGATAGAGTGCTTTTGTATTATAATATGGTTGAATATTCTGCACATTTGAAAATATTTGGAATTATACAGGGTGCGCCCACAAAGTAGGGCGCCCAAATGGTTACGTTTTTTTAAATAGAACCTCCTGTATTTGAATGCATTTTTGAATTCTACGTGTAATTGTACGTCTTTTTTATTATATGGTTAATATCCGAAAAGTTAGTAGTTTTAAAGATAATTCGATTTTTAAGAAAAATTGGGCATTTTCAAACGTCAGTATACAGCAGGCGTGGGCAACCTTTTTTTCCAAGGGGCCAAAATAAAATTTTTCATATGCGCCACGGGCCACACTTGAAAATCTAAATAAAAAGTATGTTTAAAGAAATCAATACTTATCTATTTCTTTTCAGTCTATATCTATTTTTTGCTTTCGTAAAAATCATTAAAAAAAACAATAAGTAATTACCAGACGTGGATAATAAATCCTCATATTAGAGCAAAAATGTATTAAGGTTTTTTGTAGGAAAAATTTTTTTACGTCAATCAACCACATTAGTTTTCAATTTTTTTCATAATCAAGACGGAAAATTGGAAAAATAAAATCCGCACCTTTTTCAATAGTTGGTGATGCCATGGAATTTTATAATACAAAAACTACACCAATATCCGTCATGCCATGGAATGTCTGCTATAAAACAAATCAAATTCTCAAAAAGTATTATATTTAAAACAGCGAATTCAACATAAAGAAAGACCAAATTACTAAAAACGGTTTCCTAATATAACAATTTACAATAAATGCTCGAATAAGTCACCATTAACTGCAAGACAGTAACCAAGTCGATCATAAAATCCATTTCGAACTGCTACTAATTGATAACTGGATATCTTTTTGTTTTAGAAAATTCCATGGCATTGCAGATTATTGAAAAAGATGCGGGTTTTATTTTTCCAATTTTCCGTCTTGATTATGCAAAAAATTGAAAACTAATACGGTTGATTGACGTAAAAAAATTTTTTCTACAAAAAACCTTAATTCATTTTTGCTCTAAAATAATTTGGGGAGCCAATAATCGCATGTTATGAATTTTACATTGAAATCCCTATGATGCGTTACGTTTCAGGTTTTATACCTTATCCTGGGTTAAGTAAAAGTCAAATAAATACATTTACTATGAAATATTAAAAATATAGCTTACAGGGTGTTTTTTTGGTAGGTCCAAAGTTGGAAAACTTCCTATTAAAAAATCTCACTTTTTTAAATGGAACACCCTGTATATTTTTCTGTCATCAGTTAGCTCTTCCAAAAACCTTCAACTTTTGATAATAATGTCCTATACCTGTCTCTGATAGTTTTCGAAATATCTTGGCTTTCCTGGGTTTTATGTTCTAATCTTAAATAAGTTATACAGGGTGTTTCGAAATTCGCGCACACGGACTATGGGATGGTGTTATACGACAAAAACTGAACAAAAAGTTCCTCTACCAGTTTTCCATCAGACCGCTATTTTTCGAGCTACCGCGGTTTTAAAAATCTCCGCCTCCCCCCTACGCTGCGCCACTGGTTAAACTTAATAATAACACATTTTTAAAAACAAAAGAAGGTTCAAAATAAACTATAATTATGACGAGTACGTAATTACAACAGTTGTTCAAAATGTCCGCCGTCTGCTAGTAAACAAGCTTCAGCACGTCGAAAAAAAAGTGCCGGTCTGATCAAAAACTGGTAGAGGAACTTTTTATTCAGTTTTCGTTGTATAACACCATTCCACCGTCCGTGTGCGCGAATTTCGAAACACCCTGTATGTAATTTACATAATAGTGAGGTGGAAATGCAAAAACTACAATTTTTATCTATCTCGTCCAAAAACGAAAATCATATCGATTAATTTATTTTTTGCGCGATCGGTCATTTCTGACTATTTACCATGTGTGTTTCCATGACAGTAAGTTGAATTTACCAGTTGCTATGATTACGACGACGTCAAAATTACTTACCGATCTAAAAACAGAACAGCAAAAATACTTACCGACGCCTTTTTAAAAACAATCAGTTCAATATTACATTTAATCTTTAATTATTGTTACATTAAATGTACAATTTGTGCTGATGTTTCGTATACAAAGAACACGTCATTTAAACCTGAAGCAATAGAGATCAATGTGTTTAAAGTTGTGCTTTCGTTTTTCTTAATCCATTCCAATTACAATTTTGTTCTGTAAAATCTTCGACATACCATTCGGCCACCGGCGAATACCTCGCTCATAAAGTTATAACGGAAGTGCAAAGCTAGCAAACTACATCAGACACATGCACAAGAAATTATTAATTTCAGTTTTGACAAATAAACTGGTTACCTAGTGATGTACACCATACCACTTCGATCATTGCAATTTATTCTGCTCGTTAATTTCTTAGTGCATATTTATATTGGTTGTATAATTTTAATTTCGATCGCGCAAAAAATGTTATAAGCACGTCGAACGTTAAGGGTTACCGTTCTCAGACAATAATTGGAGTCGTCGCTCCGCTCCTCCTCCAAACAATTGTCTTCGAACGGTAAAAATTCCTTACCGTTCTCCATACTTAATATACTATTTCAAACAATTTATTTTAAGTCCAAAAACTGGAGAATAAGTAAAATCATTTGTCTACAAAGCAAATTTAATTTAACTCCTAATGTCATCCAGTCAGTGATATTAGTTTAATTTTTTTTTCATTATCACCTCGTTATTTAGTAAATTAGAACTTATTTCCGATTAAAATATAAAAAGTACAAAAACCAAGATATTTGTTTATGTTTTTACTATAAAATTTACCAGTTTTTATAGACTTAAATGAATTATTAGAAAAATGAATTAATAAATTTGATTTTAGCTTTGAACGAGACAGATAAAAATTACATGGCCCCACCTCACTATTATGTAAATTACATATAACTTATTTAAGATTAGAATATAAAAACCACGAAAACCAAGATGTTTCGAAAACTATCAGAGATAGGTATAGGACATTATTATCAAAAGTTGAAGGTTTTTGGAGGAGCTAAAAGATGACAAAAAAATATACAGGGTGTTCCATTAAAAAAAGTGAGAATTTTAATATGGACTTGCTCTTATAGAAATCTGTTCGAATAATAATTTGATCACATCTACACGGACAGTAGCTATTAATTCCATTCCAATTATCAAATGTATACATACATCATATGTTATTTGTATAATTAGGTTATTAATGACAAACTTAATTAAATCACAAACCAGTGCGTTTTATATCAATTTGTGGGTTTCAATAATTTTACTATACTCGTACTGTATAGGTATTAGCTTTGAATATAAAATTAGTATTCAACGGTATTAGGTAATTCAGTTTTGTATCGATCTGTCCGAATTCCGAATGCACCGTTCTCTTTTTCATTGTCCATTGAAGGCGCACAAATCAGCACAAAACGAGCACAAAGACTTTTCGGTTTTTAAATTTGGGGGAAAATTTTAATGCACATTAAAATTAGTAGTTAGTACTATAAAGTAACCAACAAACAATGTGGTGTTTAGGATCGCCCTTTAGATATCCATTGAGTGCGGCAGTTGTAAAACTGAAACAATCGGGGGTGGTGGATGAATTGGAACGCAAATGGTGGGAACGCGAACGATTACCTGAACCTTGCCTCGTGAGTACAACTACATTGATACACCACATGGTATACCTATGACCGAGGAGTAGGTATTTAAATGCTACTATTGCAAAAATTGTATTTTAAGTATGGTAATATTTTACCAAGATTTTTTTTCAGAAAAAATCCGATTCTGGTGCAGCTCCTCCCTTAAACTATAAACACGTTTCTGGAATAATTTGGCTCACATTTGGAGGAGTATTGGCGTCTTGTGTGTTAGTGGTTTTGGAACTATTATTTAAGATAGCTAAATCACATCCAAAAGAAGAAAGGTGCAATGCTTTAAAGGAAGAAGTTAGATTTTACTTAAATTTTGATAAAAAGAGAAGACCTACTAAATAGCTTCAGTACAAACTTGACATGGATATATAAATTGAGCGATGTCAATAATATGTAGTAGATAAATTACAGTATTCCGATATATAAACATAAAAAATAGTTTTTGTCCATTTCTAACGTAGTACATCTTACCAACCTCTATCTCGATCGAATGTTGATCTTCGTCACATTGGGAGCAACAAGGTAAGAAAACAGTGTTTGTCTTCGTTTCTAATTTCAGAATTAATGTATTTTTTTGGCGAAGGATCTACGAGGCCTTGATATACAGTACATTTTTTTTAATGCGAACATAGGAGTTTGCATGCAATGTAATTTCCCTATGTTCGATTTTTAAAAAAACACATCAATCTATTGAGTAGTTCAAATGAGTAGTAGATACAATTGACAGCTGTCACATTTTTAAAAATACCGCCGTCCAATTTAATTACGAAATCGGTTAGGTTATTGCTTAGAATGTCAAGGAGGACACTTCGAACATTTATTGTAATTGTTTTCGTTACTTATTTTCTTATTTTCTTCATTTATGTATTGAATAAATCAAATTAGTAGAATACCAGGTGCACATGACCTACAAATAATTGAAGGTTGGTTCACAATGAATTGTGATGTCAGCGCATGCCATGTGAAGTCAAGTTATCGTAAGTTTAAGAAAAATGTATCCTAAAGCTGTCATGGCCGAGTGCTTTTCATCATAAAGACTATGAGTTGCGGTTCATAGTCACACAAGTTGCGCGTTTTGGGAATGTGAACCGCGCACACCTCATAGATTGATGTGTTTTTTTTAATCGAACATAGGGAAATTACATTGCATACAAACTCCTATGTTCGCATTTTAAAAAAACTCACTGTATGTATTTGAAGTCAGCGTTCAACGTACGTTATTCCCCTTGCCTGATCCTAGAAAGAAATTGGAGTAAGTAGTACGTTGAACACTAAATTTAAGGATTTCGTGAATTCTTCGCGAAAAAATACATTGCCGTTTCCCTATATGGTGCATTCTATCTGGAACACGAACATAGATACCGTATAGAAAAGTTATAGATAAGTTCTGCGTTAAAATTTGCCCATGTCACAATTATTGTGTATGTTACCATTGTATTTATAAATACATGATGTTACACTTAATACAATATCACCAAAGTGCAACAAGTATGACGTTTGAAGGTCACCCAGGAAACCTGCGCAACAAGAGCATAAAATCGGATAAGTGCGCCCATCGAAGCAAAAGACACACTACTCCTTAGGTCATCTTGATCGAGTTAGTGGTGGTTACTATAACCTATTATACTATGCTATAACTCAGGAGTAATTCCTTTTCAATGACAAAAATAAAGGACGTCTTGTTATTTTGCTTACTGAGACGTTTGTGGGTGAAAGTTTCTCACAGTAAAGCAAGACAAGTTAAAAAGTCATTATGCAAACATAAATGACGAGAGCGTATTTTCCTCCTAATAATGCTAGGACCAGGAAAAAATACCGGTAGGCACGAGATCGTCACACCCATTCTCTTTCAAATGAGCCGCCTATCGTCGAAGTCTACCTACAGTTTAATGATAGTGGACCGTATATAACTACAAACAAATTTTGAAATGGGCATTAGTTTTACTTTTATTCGAAGTGTCTACATATGGAACTTTTTATAAATGCTTTCGTAAATAGCATTGCGCATTGTCTACATTAGAAATTTCATTGAATACCTTCATAAATAAAACATACAACATACGCTAATAGTAATTTTGAAACCGGTAATAGTTTTAGTTTCATTCAAGGTACCATTGCGTATGCGCAAAACCAAATTTTAAAACTGGTGTTACATTTGTCATTATTCCAAATGCCTGTGTATAAAATTTCATTTAAATGCTCTCATAAATAAGAAAGTTGGCATTGCGGATGCGCAAAGCAACATTTTAAAAACGTCGTTAATTTTACTTATATTCGTAGTGTTTACATACAAAGTTTCATTTAAATATCTTCATAAATAAAAAAATTAGCATTGCACATGCGCAAATTTTTCACACTGGGCATGCGCAAAACCAAAAAATATCGGGATGCACGGAATCCTTGGACCAAGCCCTTTCAAATGAGCCCTAGATCGCCCTGGTTCAGTGGTGTAGGAGTACGTGTGACGGACGGACGGGTGGGCAGACGGAGGACGTCAAGTGCAGCCAATAGCGATTTTGAGGAAAATACGCTAAAAAACGCAGACCACCCGATTATTGCCACGGCCATGACCGCACGCTAGCTCACTTTATATTGATGTATTTCACTCGGTATTTCATAAAGCTTAATCTTTCGACCTTTCGCGCTTTTGGTTATATATGTTACGGTAAAAGTACATAATTGGTGATTGTATACAATCACCGGTAATTGTATACAATCACCAAAGTCACTGGTAAATGTACGAAATTATTCTTAATTATCTACTTTTACCCGTAATTGTATACAATAACCAAGGACCAGCGGTAAAAGTAAGAAAATGATATCAAAAGAAGAAATAAAAATAATAAATTCAAATAGTTTTTTTAAGAAGTGTAATTTTTGTTATTATTGTTTTTTTTAACCTAAAAACAAGAGGGTTTTTGCCTGAATCAATAAAGAGGCAAATTTTTACTTTTACCAGACTCCGGTAAATGTATACAATTACCGGTAATTGTATACAATTACCACATTATGTACCCTTACCGTAACATATACATATAAAACGGGTTAAATGCAAGAGCAGAAGTAGGAGTTTCGGCGCACTGCTATTTGAACTTCGCCCATTTAGTTGCTTTTGCTTCCGCTGTGTATTGAGTGTCCGTATCCTACTAGGCCGGTTCTGAACTAGTTCAAAGACCTTGATGGGCTCATCTTCAGGCTATATAAAAATGATACTTGGCCCTCGGTATACTTTTCGTTTATATCGCCACGAAGACGACCCACTTCGTAAAGTACAATTTGGCTGCGCGAAACACACTAGCACAGGCTCCACGTCTGAGATGCCCATGGAATCACTTCTCGCCGAGCACGAATTTACTCATATTTATATATGTCCCCACTTTATCTACTGTAATTAAGTTCCGCCTATCTTACTACGATAAAGTGTTTATAAGTTCTGCATGCCTCTCTTACGGTCTTTTGTCAATTCAACTTCAGTACGAAATAAACGCAGTTAAACAGACTCTTCTTACGGTTATCATTAATATAATGACTCATGTATAATCACATCCTGAATATACAGACGTAAAGCAGCTTTTATGATCCTATTTATTTACATGTGAAACGAATTAGCATTTCTAGCGCGATTGTTGCGTCCCCAAACTAGAATAAAATATCCTTTCGTTTTTCCTTTAATGAAAATACCCTGTGCGTCGTTCGCATCGATTGATCGATCCAACAACAATCAAGATGTCGCCGTGCAGTTCGCAGCAACCCTGAACGTCTTTGTTAAGAAGCAAAGCGTCAACACATCACATCATGAAGATTTCGTTATAACAAATAATTGTCCTCGGCCAAATCGCAGAAAAGAGCAATCTTCGCTATTGCAACAGGTAGACAGCCGAATAGAGAGTCCGGTAGAGAACCGGGTAGAGAGCTCAGTAGAAAGCCCGGTAGAGAGTCTGGTAGAGAACCTGGCAGAGAGCGAGGTAGAGAGCACGGTAGAGGTCCGGTAGAGCGTCGAGTCGCATGCTCAGGAATTTCGATTGTCGATAATACGTTAAATGGTGAACATGAACATTGAACACCTTATAAAATGGCTGCACTTCTCCCTATTGTAGCAGCTACCAGGCAGATCGTTCGTTTAGAACCTACCATCAGGTGTAGCAGTAGCTAAATGAGCAGAAGAATCCGCTCGAGTGGGGATGGAAGGATGGCCAACATCTGAGAACACTAACAACCCAGGAATTACTCATAGAAAAACCTCTTCAGGACTGGACACCGAAAGGATTAATAGATTGAGAGCTCTTTCTTGATTCAGTGGGTGATGGTGGCGCATGGCCTTTTTAGTTTGTGGAGCGGCGATTTGTCTGGTTAATTCCGATAACGAACGAGACTCTAGAACGCACGGAGGCGCACGCTCGGCGGCACGCTTTGCGCGTAGTCGTCGGAGCCGTGTCATCGTCGTTCGTACACAGACATCTCAAAGGCCGCGTGCCTGCCGCGCAATCAAACGTCTCCCTGCGCGTCGTATCTCGGTGCGGCGCGCATGACCCCGTCCGGTCGCCCAGCGGCCGCGTCAAAGCGACAGCGGACGCGCGCGTGCGACGGTTGCATGAGCGCACGGTTCTTGCACTGTCTGCTCGAAGTCGCGCTATAGAGAGCAATAATAGGTCTGTGATGCCCTTAAATGTCCTGGACCGCACGAGCGCTACACTGTGCGTGTGTGCGAAGATCAGTGAATAAAGAATACCAGGAAGGAGCATTAATCAAGTTGTATACGAGAGAGAGAGTGCGACGGAAGTCGGCCATTTGCAAAAGCCACTTATGAGCCATTTTTGTTGTGGCTGTTGCAGTGACATAAAAAGAATGGTTAGTTGTTGTGCTTGTGGTTGCTCCAAAACAGAAAAAAATAACACTTTTGGAATTACATTTCATGTGTAAGTATTGATACCAATATTATTTTTATATAGTACATGTCAATTTACAAATTTTTTATCGGAATGTAGTTTGAGGTTAGTTAAACAAAAGTCATAGGCGGAGTAGACACATGGGGTTTAGATTGTTTTCGTGTAAAATTCTTTATAATTGTATCCTTCTACAACTGTAAGGTAGGTACGCCACTGGAACAGGAAACTACTGTCCGCCATTTGCAAAAGCCATCGCGGTCGCACGTATATTGTTGATATTCTCCTTCCTGGTATTCTTTATTCATTGGCGAAGATAGTCCTCGGCCGAGAGAGCCGATTAATTCGCTGACACTCCTGCGTGCTAAAGATTGGGGCTTGAAATTCTACCCCATGAACGAGGAATTCTCAGTAAGCGCGAGTTATTACCTCCTGTTGATTACGTCTCTGCAATTTCTACACACCGCCCGTCGCTAC